GATGGGGGGCGGGCGGGGCCAGGTGCGGCCCAGGTGAGCGGGCGGGGAGGTGTGCGGCAGTGGCCATATTTGGCGATGTGGACCCTTGCTCCGCCCGGCGCCTGGAGGCCCGCGATTGCCCTGAGTCACGGGGGCGGACGTAACGGACGGGGCGCCCGGCTGTGCTCCTCGCCTTATTTAGTCAAGCAGGTTGCCCATTGGCCCGCGGGACAAAGGGGCGGCGGCCCTGGCCCACCAGGCCGGTTCGCGCTGGAGACCCTCGCTTGTGCCCCTGGACTCTGAACCGCGGTGTTCCCGGGGGACTGTGGCCGCATGACCGGGGGAGGGGCGGCCGGGCCTGCGCCGGGTAGGGGAGGGAGGCGCAGTGTGCGCTGTGATTTTTCTGTGTTGTAACTGGGTAGTGTGAGGCCTCGCCCAAGGTCACATCGGGGCCGTTCTGGTCTGTGCTGTGCAAGTTGGTGACACAGGGCTGACCGACCCCTCTTGGAACTGGAGCCAGAGAAAGCCTGGCATCCCTGGGGACCCAGTGGCCGTGGCTACCCTGGCTTTGGTGGTGGATCCTGCAGGCCAGGAGCAGGATTTGCATGCTGCCAGAAGTGGGCGTGTCCTATTGTAAGGATGGAGCCGCAGCTCCGAGAAATGATCGGAATTTTTTTCTGTGCTGGCTTCGCCCACTTTCTATTGTGACCTGCTGCATCTCCTCCTTTCGTGTTCCGGCCATTTAATGGGGTAAGAAAACAGCAGCTCAAAGAGGTGAAGAGTTAGGGAGTGGGGCCGAGTGGAGATTTAACGCAGGCTGGCCCCACCCTGGGTCTTCTTTGAACCCTGTCAGTTCTTTCTCCCTGCTCAGCAACCATGGATGTTCCTTGGACTCCCGGTTACCTCTGCACCTGGTAGCAAAGTCCTCCAGGACATACTCCACCTGTCTGAGCACCTCCATACTTCCTCCAACTGGCTGACTTCTTGTCAGGCAGATGGAACAGGAAACTTGGTCTTGAGACTCCACCCCAGGTCTCTGCTGTTCAGCCATCAAAGATGCAAACATAATCCTGGAACCGAAAAGAGACGGTGGATAATAGTAAGTACAAAGGTTAACCTCTTAGCAATGACAACGCTGCCACATTCCGTGAGATGCTGACGTTAGAGGTGTGGGGGGCGGCGTACACAAGAACTCCTGTACTGTCTTTGCAACTTTTTTCTAAGTCTAAAGTTGTCTCATAATAAAAAATAAGAATATAAAAGTCTGAGGAAGTCAAAGTTGGCCTGATCTGAGCTCACTTTCCTGTTTTTAGTCCTTTGCAGACAGATCAAATGCAGGGGAATGGTCTTGTCTCCTAAAGCCCTTGCCACAGCTCCAGGCTAGCTCCCATGGGAACTACAACAGCCCCTAGGATGAACTATGTGGAACAGTAGTCCTAGGGCAACCATGGTGGGCAAAGTCAGTTTGATGTGGCTGCCCCAAGTTTGGGCTCAAAGGACCAGGCTAGGAGACTGGGGTCGCTCACTTCTGTCTCCTGTCTGGTGTTCAGCCAGAAGCCTAGCTGTGCCCGACCTTAATAGGTTTCCATTAAGGTCTCCATCCGCAAGATGTTCCAGGTGTTCCAGGTGTTCTGCTTTTACTTAGTGCCCCTATAACTCAGACCTGAGGCAGGGGTAGGCAGGGCTGCAGGACACAGCCTCCTTGCAGAGGCCACAAAGAGAATGGGTCTCCCTGAAGGGCCTTACTCACTGTTGGCCCCACGAGGGGTTCCATGGCCCAGGAAATCATCTGCTCTTCACGACTACTGTTAAGGGTGGTTGGCATGGAAAGTGCCCCTGGGACAGTGTGTTAAGAACACCCTGCCCCCTCCCCAGAGGCCAGCACATGCTAAAGCTGATGTCCCTGCAGCTCTTAATTCTCATTCTGCGTAGCTGAAGAGAAACCAGAGGCCACCCCACTCCTCTGACCAGCGGCTTTCTCCACCTGCCTCCAGCTCAGCCACATACCCTCTTTGATGGTTCATCCCCACAGGCTGGTCACTGCTCGCTCTTGCTGCCCCACAGACTGGTCTACGTTGCACAACGGATCCCATTATACTACTTGGCCAGCTCTGCCTCACAGTCTAAGCCCCTTTCCAGGGCATTGGGGCTCTTGTGAGGGGTTAGCCTGCTGGTCCCCTCCTCACCTTGCTCACCACACTCCTGACCACTGCACTGCTGGTCCCCCTGCCCCAAAGTTGAAAGGCTGCCCCTCACACCCAGCCACTAGATAGCCCATGGATTCTAGTTAGACCCACTGAATACTGATTGAGTTACCTGTGCCACCCTATGCCCCCAGCACAGGCTGCAAAAGCCCTGTCCTTGGATATCCCTGTGGGTGGGAAGCCTGAGTGGTGGAATGGAGGGAGGAGACGGAGGCGGGCCTGGCCTGGGTGGCTGAGGAAGTGAGGCAGATCAGCTGTATCTTCCACCCTGACCCAAAAGAATTGGAGCAGTGGGAGGGTGGGAAGGGAGGGAATCCCATTCTCCATTTTCCCAGGGATCCTTTTTCTATCCTCATTTCGTAGTGGTTCATAGCACTGGTGACCCCAGGCAGGCCTGGCTGAGGGCTGCATCAGCAGACAGGAGGGTTGCCTGAGAAACTCAGGGTTAACCTTTCCCACACCTCCTGCCCTGACCACTGGCTGAAGGGAGTAGCCTGCAGTGCTGGACTAGGTCAGCAGCCCTGCCTGACAGGTGTACCACCCCCAGAGGCTGGGCTCTGCCTGAGTGGGAGGCAGGTTGGGACCAGATAAGGGCAGAAGGCTCTTGCTGTAGACATTTTGCCCCTGGCCGTGTTCCAAGGTGTGCAGGGAGGAGGCTTGGGTTGGAGTTCAGTGGATATCGGGAGGGCCTTGCTGAGCAAGCCCCGTTCTGACGACAGGGTCTGGCACCCTAAGTTGGTAGGGGACCAGGTAGGCCCACAGGACTTGCGGCCTGCCTCGGTAGAGCCAGGTCTACACATCAGGGCCCCCTCTCTTTGGGGTCAGCACAGGTATTACGCAGAGAGTCTCTGGAGGATGTCTAGGAAGGAAAACCAATGTCCTCCCCCTCCCCACCAAACACCCGCAGAGTTTCCTGGACTTGGGCCTCAGGCCTCGCCCTATGCAGGCAACCTTCCCTGTTCAGCAAGAACTGGGGAAGGGGGCAGGTCTGGGGGCGTGGGGGCCGGGGATGCCAATGCTCCCCAGGGTAGTGCTTGGAGGGCAATGGCCAGCAGAGGGCGCCCCTGGCATGGGCCCTGAAGAAGACCATTGCGGACTGGTGTCATTCCCACGTGGACCGCCAGATGGGTCCCGCCACTGCCTTTCCCTGCATCCCTGCCATAAGGCCAGGAGGGAACCCTACACTAGCCAGGCTCGGCTAGGGCGGGCCCACAGCTGAGTCACTGCACCCTGCACAGGGTTACCAAGGCAGGGCAGCTAGGGGAGTAGCGGGTGACCTCAGCCAGTGCTGACGCACAAGAGCAGGTGGGGCCCAGGCAGCCCACACCCAGAACAGAAGAGGGAGAGATCAGACTGGACTTGCTGCCAACTAGGACCAGCCCATAGGATGTCCCTGAGCAATCACAGGGACCTCAAAGCACAGGCAACCCCTGACCCCATGTGCCTGTTAACCAGTGTGGGAAGCTTGCCTCTAGGTGCCTGGTTGTGCACTTCCTGGGTGTCACTGTCTCATACTGCTGAGCACCTGACAACCATCTTTTCCAAAAGGAAATGGTTGATTCAGACAATCCTGGAGGTCACATAGTAGGAAGTGGCCAGAAGTGAGTCCCCCACTGCATACACCTGCCCTTCTCCCACCAGTGGAAGGCTCCTTTTTTTTCTTTTTTAAAATATTTTATTATTTTATGTGTATGAGTGTATTGCCTGCATGTATGTGAGTGCACCCATGTTGTGCAATGCTGTGGTCAGAAGAGGGCTTCAGATTCCCCTGAAACTGGAGTTAAGGACAGTTCATAGCTGCCCTGTGGGTGCTGGGACTCAAACCCTGGTCCTCTGCAAGAGCAGTCAGTGCTCTTACCACTGAGCCATCTCTCCAGCCCCTACCTCTTTGTCTTTTTAATGGAGTGTGTGGCTATTTCCTTGACTTCTAGCTGTTTGGCTGGAATTTTTCATTCAAAAATGTTTTATTTTTACTTAAGTTTATGTACGAGTGCACGTACCCTTGGAGGCCAGATCTGGCCATTGGATCCCTTGGAGCTGGAGTTACAGGCAATTGTGAGCTAGCAGGCATGGGTGCTGGGAACAGAACTCACGTCCTCTGGAAGAACAGCAAAGATTCAACCACTGAGTCATTTCTCCAGTCCTGCTTTTGTTTTGGGGAAACAGAGTCTCACTGTGTAGTCCTGCCTGGCCTGGAACTTGCTGTGGAGACTAGGCTGCCCTTGAACTCACAGAGATCTGCCTGCCCTCTGCCTCTGAGTGCTGGGATTACCACTGTGTGCCACCATGCCCTGCTAGGTTTTTTTCATTTTTCAAAAGATTATGTTTTGGTTTATGTGTGTGAGCATTTTCCCTGTGTATGTATGTGCACTACATGAGTGCAATGCCCATGGAGGCCAGAAGAGGGCATTGCATTTCCCCTGGAACTAGAGTTCCAGATGATTGTGAACTGCCATGTGGGTGCTGGAACCCAAACCCAGGTCTTCTGCAAGAGCAGCACGTGGGGCTGGAGAGATGGCTCAGTGGTTAAAAACACTGCCTGCTCTTGCAGAGGACTTGGGTTCAATTTCCAACACCCACATGGTGGCTAACAACTGTCTGTAACTACAGTTCCAGGGTATCCAACGCCCTCTTCTGGCATCCGTGGGCATCGCATGCACATGGCGCACTTATGTACATGCAAGCAAAACATTGTACACATGAAATACAAATAGGAGCAACAAGTGCTCTTAACTGCTGAGCCATTTCCCTAGCCCCAATCTTAAAAAAGGGGGTGGGGTTGAGAAATGACCCAATCTTAAAAAAGGGGGGGGGGTTGAGAAATGCCCCAATCTTAAAAAAGGGGGGGGGGTTGAGAAATGCCCCAATCTTAAAAAAGGGGGGGGGGTTGAGAAATGCCCCAATCTTAAAAAAGGGGGGGGGGTTGAGAAATGACTCAATCTTAAAAAAGGGGGTGGGGTTGAGAAATGACTCATCAGTTAAGAATGCTTACTGCTCTTACCAAAGACCTAAGTTTGGTTCCTAGCACCCATATCAAGAGGCTTACAATTGTGTGTAACTCCAATTCCAGGGGATCAGTCACCCTCTTCTGGCCTCTGAAAGCACCCATATACACATAATACACATATTCATACATATGTGTCAATAAAAAGCAGCCAGCACTAACGCCTGGAGCTGTGTAGTGGGGTCCATGAGAACGCTTTGACACTGGCTGTGACCTGGCGCTGGGCCTGTCTCTTCCTCTTACAATGAATGGTCTGTTCCTGTTTTGCTCTAATTCGGAGACAAAGTTTGTTCCTTCTGAATCTCCAACAAGGTTTTTGGGATACAGTTTGTACTTAATGCTAATGACGTAGCTGAGCCTGGGGGTGCAGACCAGAGAGGATGAAGCAGGAGGGTCGAAAAGCTGAGTCCAGCCTGGGTAACTTGGACAGAACCTGTCTCAAAGAGGAAAGTTGGCTGTGGTGGTGCACACCTTTAACCCAGCACTTGGGAGGCAGAGGCAGGTAATCTCTGTGAGATTGAGGCCAGCCTGCTGGTAAGCATAGTGAGTTCCGGAAAAGCTGGGACTACAGGGAGTCACTGTCTCCAAAAAGAAAAGAAAAGGCTGGGATGTAATTCAGTAGAACACTTGTCTTGCTGCATGAGGCCCTGGATTCAGTCTCCAACACAAAGACCTGAGTTCAGGTCCCCAAGACCATGTTAAAAAGTACCTTGCAGCAGTACATGCCTATAATCCAAACACTGAGGAGGTGGAGACAGGAGGATCCCTAGGGTTTGCTGACCATCCAGTCTAGATGAGTTACTGAGCTCCAGGTTCAATGAGAGATCCTGTCCCCCAAAATAATGTGGGGTGGAGAGGGCTAGAGAGATGGCCCAGCGGTTAGGAGAACTG